GGGAGAGATAAACAGTTCTTAGAGTATATTATAAATAATAAACAACTTTTAAATTTAGTTCTATACAAATAGTGCCATGCGGTACGTTTTCATACGTTTCAGTAATGCTCTCTCTTACGTTCCATCACGTATCAATATTTACAGACAATAACACGAGATGATAAGGTTAAAGAAAAAAAATTCATTTCTTTTGATAAAACTATTACGTTTCCGTACTGTTCCGTATGTTTCCTTACGTTTCAGTAATGCTCTATTACGTTCCATTACGTATCAATACTTACAGACAATAACACGAGATGATAAGGTTGAAGAAAAAAAGGTAATTTCTTTTGGTAAAACTAATTACGTTTCCGTACTATTCCGTATGTTTCCTTACGTTTCAGTAATGCTCTATTACGTTCCATTACGTATCAATACTTACAGACAATAACAAGACAAGGGATGATAAGGTTGAAGAGAAAGAACAACACTCGTCTTTTGATATGGATGGTGAATGTGATGTCCGGGTAAGGCGCTTTACAACAAGCATAATACTCCTCGTTTCTTTTAGAAGGAACTCCCACTAGGTCCCATTCCCCGTTGTCTTGAAACTTGTCAATTGCAGCCGAGAAAGCCTCGGGCTTCATGTCTAGCTGAAAACCATCAAATGTCCAYGAGCCAAATTTGAGTTTGCAYAACTGTTGGTCGAAGGGAAAGTACTGTATCCGTATTTTACAAGAACTCGAGAAGATCACTGGAGCCAGCCACATYTGCCAGCCATCACTCGATACGATGATTCGTGTCTTGAAGTTTTCCAGAGATCCATCAGTACTAGGGTCCGCACTATAAAAACAAAGGAGTCATAAATAGATTTGTTGAGATAAAATGACAGCCTTACTGACATGTGTGACACCGTGACATATATGATACCGTGACATGAGTGACACCGTGAAATGAGTGACACCGTGACATGAGTGACACCGTGACATGAGTGACAACGTGACATGAGTGACAACGTGACATGAGTGACAACGTGACATGAGTGACAACGTGACATGAGTGACACCGTGACATGAGTGACACCGTGACATGAGTGACATGGGTGACATCGTGACATGGGTGACACCGTGACATGTGTGACACCGTGACATGTGTGACAACGTGACATGGGTGACACCATGATATCGTGACCGCCGCGACAGGGAGACGTTTGGTACGTTGCTGTATATAAGGCAATAAGAATACAAAGTAGAGGACGAGGAACAAGAGAAGAAAAAGAACAGAAGTGTACAAAGTGAACAAAGGGGAAGACGGAGGAGGGTGGGATTAGGGAAGCTATAGCCCCCTTTTTTTGGTAGTAGTACTGGTAGTTAGTTTGAGTTTGAGAAAACGAGAGCATGCATGTCATTTAATCGGCCATGTTAGATACAATGGTGGGAACTAGCGGTAAACTAGTGTAATAACTATTTAGATACAAGACAAACACGATGGTTGGTTGCTATGGAGTTTCCTCCCGGACCCCTCAATAGTAGGAGTTTTAGGCAATTATAAAATAGAGGAATAWCGCGCAGGTGATGAAACTTGGCAGGGAGGTGTATTGAGGAATTACCTATTCAAGYGTATAAAATTTGGTATATGGGAATGCAATTGTGACGTCATAATGTAAGTCCAAATATGGCCTCAGAATTATAATTCAAGCCAAAAGGAGTACAAAGATACTCATAATTTTGCCTATAGAATTCGATCATTTTTGATGAAAATTTCATCTCAATCGGACAAATAGGCGCCAAGTTACAGCTAATTAAAGAAATTCAAATTTCCCGCCATATGACCATATATGGTAAAAATTAAGGCTATTTACAGTGGCCTTAGGATTGATTGTATCGTTAGAAAAATAGCATCAAAGGATATAAAACCAAAATCGTAGTTTTTTTGACTTGGGGTTTGGTATGCTATGATGCGTTTTTCGTCACGTAATACGTCATAAGGACGTCATAATTTGTCCGATTGATATGGGGTCTTCACTAAAGTTGTTAATTTTGTGTTGCAAAAATGTCTGTAACGTTCTGTGCAACTTTTGATGTATTTCAATGGTGTTACAAAAATGTATCAATTTGATGACGTCATAATTTTTGGAAACACGAAAAAKATGTCATTATTGTACAAAAAATGAACTTTTTTTCTTCTTATGCTCATTTCGTAATACCCTGCTTCATTTTGAACAGAGATTTGTCCCTATATTACTGAAGAGAGTTTCAGAGKCGCTGGTAGTTTCAGAGCCCGCGATGCGGGAGGAAAAGTCCTAGCAACAGACCATCGTGAAACCCTTACTTATTATAGAGCACGAGGTCAGGTTTCCATACTTGCTCTGGTTTAACATTAATTGAGCCTATCCCTCCATAGTAGCTAGCGTTCCATCGTAGGAATGGGTTATACCATTTCTGAAAATACAAGCATAATATTTGAGGCTACTTTAAAAACTCATTGTGTTAAGTTAGTAATGAAKAAGTACTGGATGAATTTTGCGTTTAGTTCGTCATTCAGAAGATAGTCTTGGTTGCTTTCCGTCGATGTACATCCGGCTCTTATAAAAAAAAATGTTTTTTTCCCCGGATACATTAGGATGACATCAACAACTTCGAGAGAAATCAAGCCACTCTCAGCCACTTTCAAATATCGGGAGGTCTCGGAACGAGCCCTTCCATCCCCCCCCCCCCCCCCCCAAAAAAAAAAAGTATTGGTCACGTTTGGTTGCCACAGCAACACGATGTTAGAGAACAAAGCAGCTTCCAAAGTTTCATTGTTTTAAGCTGCTTTGCAATCCAAAATCGCGTTGCTGTGTGATACCCAAGCACGTGTCCAAGTCCTATTGTCCACAAAGTTCTATGCTCAACCGGCATTCATTTATGCTGTCAGTAATATCATTAAACAGCGAGCCAAACTGCGTCAGAAAATCATTAAAAATATATGTCAATTAATATAAGATGCAGATGGCTACTGGTGGTGTATAACTTTGGACTATTTTTGCATATTAGAAACCATTGTGTATTTAACAATTAGAAGTCCGCAAATATTCTTAATTTTCTTCACCTTGAATAAACAATGACGTTAYCCAAACCATTAACAGAAAAAAACACTACTTTAATTTTTTAATTTATTTGTTTTTCTATACGTAAAAATTAAACAAAAATTTTAAAATAACATCTACATAAAAGCATTTCAGAAAATTGCACTAAGCCCACAAGATYAGAAWTATTTAAGAAATAGAGTCAGTTGAAGGTCATTATCCTGTGAAGTTGCGCGCGGAAACTGTTCGACTGCTCTGTTGTTTTTATTAGTCAACAATTTTTTTAAGCGGCGATGTATAACACTGTACTTATTTTTGCATCTAAGAAACCATTGCATATTTAACTATTCTCTCTCTATCTTATAATTAACTGAAAAAATACATGAAAATTTACTGACTGTCTCTAAAACTAATACTGGGTTTATTCGTTCAATCAAAAACACYACACTCAAAGCGAACCTCTATCTTGACAGATGGATGAATCGCCTGCTTTTTTAAGTTCTTGGTAGATCTGATATAGAGTGTACTTACAAACACACCACACTTTAATGTACATCAATATATAGCTCTTAAATTTACAATTTTTTCTTTCTCTTTTCGTTACATTACTTTGTAATTATTGAGTGTTCATTTCGATGTCTTTCCTTRAATTCTGTGCTTGCGGTATGTTCTTCCACTTCYTATTMCCTGCCTGRACGATTYGATCGACAGCAACACTTGGGTACGAGAGCTTTGATATTCTCWCGYTAAATATCATTGAAGATGAGGTAGATGAAGAAATTATACATTAGATTAAAGTAGAAAATGAAATCTGAGGAAAAATGTACTTTCAGAAAKGTTGAGAGCGAGAGATTGCTCAATTTTCCCTGAGTAGCAAACATAAATAAAGTGAAACGACAAACGCGACAAAAATACAGCAAAACCACAATTGTCARAGCATGTTTTAGGACTTTTTTATTCTGTTGTTRTCTTCTTCTTTGTTCTGTGGTTGATAATCCGGTTATTTTGTGTTGATAGAGTTTGCAGATGGTTAAAATGTAGGTGATTGTGATGAACAGGACTGGCAAAACACCGGTCAAGGCCTCWATGATGTAACTGTYAAGTAAAAATAATGACTGATGATCGTAAGAAGCGTCACAGTACAAGAAGTCATCAAATTGAATAGTTGATAAAATGAATAAGTATGGTGAACCAATTACGATTGAAATAATCCAAATAACTGCGATGACATGTTTCATRTTGCCCTCGAAAGGTCTCTTGAATGGATGAGCCACGGCGAAATACCGGTCAACGGCGATGACAACACAGCTATATGCAGAAACAGCGAAAGACGTATCMATAGTAAAGAAAACTAGCTTGCACAGTGCATTACCAATGACCCCATCAATCAGCCATTGCCTGCCGAAGTGTATGAATAYTATTTCGTCTGGATAGGCAAAAATAGCTGCAAWYATATCACTGACCGCCATGTTGGTTATTAAGTGATTAGTGGTAGTTCTTAATCGATTGTCCCTAAAGACTATCCACACAATAAGGAAGTTTCCCATCATGGCCARAACAAATTGAAGAGAAAAGGCCGCAGTCCATGGTATCTTGCCGTAGTAAGGAACAAGAATATCAGGATGAGTAGAGTTGAAAGTAGAATTATCAAACATCYTGTTCACTYACCGTACGTTCTGCTGGTGATGTTTTAGAATAAGTTCGTCATAAAAGTGTTCCTTATAAGTTGAAAAAAATGCGTCAGAAAATAACACGTTTTCRTACGATAAGGATAATGATATGGACAATCYAACCAATCAAATTGAAGGATTAAGTTGGTACGCAAAATGTCGCAAATTAGTYCATGTAACGTCACATTCAACCAATCACATAATGGCTGTGTTAAGCTACTCGTAATCAGCGATTTTTAAAAAAAGATGGGCATTGAAATAAAAAGCTTGAAAAGCAATATGCATAACCATGACAAAATATAACTAAATGTACATCTATAATATATAAAATGTGCCTAAAATTAGCACGACAATTGCAGGAATTGACGTAATCAAGTTCTGTGTAGATTTGATGTATGGGTCGCGTTTTTATGAGCCCCACTCCCATATACACTTTCCAGTACTTTTGATATATTGCTGTTAATGTGCAGGTTTTCTTTGTCTTTTCTTTATACTGCTATTTCAAAAAACGCTGTTCGGGGAGAACGGCGAACGGCGATTGTCGAAGGGAGATTGCACGACCGAAAGGGACTATGGTTACATTGTTTTGATAAACAAAATTTCACCTTTTGACGTTACATAGTAATGGGACTAAATGGAGCTAATGTTTACCACAGACCATCTTACAGTACAAATCAGTTGTTATTTCATTTTACCGAGCAAAATCCATGGCTACTTTCGGTCGTGCAATCGCCGTTCGACAATTGACATTCGCCATTTTATCCGACAACCTTTTTTGAAATAGGTATATATCGTATTTTAACGTTAGTTATTGCACTTGGTTTCGATATTATGTCTRCGTTAATCTGTCAGACCCTGTCTTCAACTTAGCACATGCATTTCTATCACTGTCGCTCCACCTGGTATCTCATGCCTCATGCTAGTGTCAGATCGACAACGACACTTTGGTACGAGGGCTTTGATATTCTCACGGTAAATATCATTGAAGATGAGGTAGATGAAGAAATTATACACGAGATTGAGGTAGTAAATAAACAATGCAGCATTACTAAAATTGATGAGSGATGAGGACGAGAGATGATTCAACTTTCCATAATACCACAACAAAAAWACAGTGAACCGAAAAATGCGGCATAGATAAAGTAAAACCACTATTGTCACAGKATGWTTTAGYACTTTTTTYTTTTGRTGTTCTCTTCTTCTTCGTTCTGATGTTGCRAATCCGGGTACTTTGCGGTGATAAAGTTTYCAGATGGTTAAAATGTAGGCGATTGTAATAAAAAGCGCTGGCAAAACTTCGATAAACACTACTGAGATGTAAACGTAAATTAGATATGATGAKRTGTCATTGTCAGGTACATTGCAAAGGAAGAATTTGTCAAGTTGAAATGTGATGAAAAAGTACAAGTCTGGTGAACCAGTTATGGCTGCAATAATCCAAATAACTGCAATGACGTGTTTCATCTTGCCATGGAAAGGTCTCTTGAATGGATGAGCCAKGGCGAAATACCGGTCAATAGCAATGACAACACAGCTATAGGCAGAAACAGCGAAAGACATAGTTTTTGTAAAGCCAGACAACTTGCAAAGTGCATTTCCAATGTCTCCTCCAATAAGCCAATTTCCGTCAATGTTAAGTTCTACTATCTTGATTGGAAAGAAAGCAAACCCGACAAGAAGATCACTYAKCGCCATGTTGGTTATTAAATAATTGGTGGWAGRRTTTAYTCGATTGTTTCTATAGACTATCCARACTATAAGGAKGTTTCCGATCATCGCCATAAAAAACTGAAGAGAAAAGGCCGCAGTCCATGGTATCMTGCCGTAGRAAGGAACAGGAATACCAGGACGAGTAGAGTTMAGAGTAGAATTAATAAGCATCGCATTCATACAGTACGCGCCCTGCTTGTGATGTTTTASATCGATMTTAGAATAAGTTTACCARAAGTGTTTTTTTTAATYTATGCGCCAGAAAAAAAAGAAAGAAATTAGAAATGCATGTTATTCTAAATTACCCTGCAGATGTCTCATGATGAACATTATCGCTTAGTTTTGACAAGAAAATTATGGTTATTTTATCATTTCGCTCATTTTAACGTCAAATTATTCTCGTCCATTTTTAAATTTCATCTATCCTACTAGAAAGTTGATATATCTATTT